TGCAACAGAACAGAAACATCTGCAACAATAAAAGAAATCCTAATTCCACAACAAAATAATATTGTACTGATGTGCAAAAGCAAACAAAAAATCAAGAAAACACCTCCAATTTCATTTATTTACTTTTGAAATGAAAAAAGCACAATTTACAGCCTATTTGGTACGTTTCACAATGTATACATGTAAAAAAATCCTTTCCCACAAACAATGCATGCAGTGTAATGCAAACATAGCAGTTAACAAAATTAACAAACAAAATAAATAAATTAATTAAAACTAAGAAAAAAAACATTGTAGCCACAACACTTCAACATAAAACACCAAAATTCAAAAAGCTCCTGAATCAGATGTTTTCCCTTACCTTCTCTTGTCCTTCACATGTCACATTCTCTATTGCAGATGCGTTGCCTAGACACACTAACAATGCTGCCTCAATAATGCTAGCATCATCACCTTCTGTCAAAAGGTTTGGAAAATTATACAAAATCCTATATACAAAAAATATATAGCAACTTATGCAACAAAATGAATAATACAGAACAATATATCAAATCATTAACCAGTTGACAGTTTCAAGTCACATCACTACATCTGGCAAACCAATCAAACATCATTGGGTCCAAAGAAAGAAAGAAAAGGAGAAAGAAAGGAAGGAAGAAGGAAGGAAGAACGAAAGATCAAAAAAAAGAACAAGAAAGAGAGAAAAAACAAAGGAAAGAAAGAGAGAATGAAGGAAAGAAAAAACATACAATCAGAGAAGAAAAAATGAGAAGAGAAGAAAACAAAAGTTGAGAGAAGAGCGAAAGACGAGAATAAGGAAGAACAAAGAGTGAAATACACAGGTAATTCATATGGAATGCAGAACAACATGAAACTGTCTTGACTTACTAGCAGCCTTATTAGCAGAAAATACATCCATGATTTCAGTCACTAGACCAGCCACAAGCAGAAGACACAGGATAATAAAGACTGGAACACTTCCTGCTGGCCACAAACCTAAAATTCGAAGAAAACCTATTTGTTCCAGAATTATTTTTGTTTCCAGATTTTACTAAATAAAATGAGATTTGCACATTAAACTTCAATCAATAATAATGATGAATATTAATAATAATACACAACAAGGATATTCACATTAGTAATATATACATAAAACCAAAGAAAATACAAAGCCTTGCTTCAACTTTACCAGACATGCCAGCTGCTGCCATGACCCACACGGCCAGACTCATGCGGCCCAAGACATCTCTAGTTGCTGAAGACCAGAAGAATACCACAGCCACAAGGTATCCAAAAATTACTGTTAAAACCTACAAAAAGAAAAGAAAAGAAAAGAAAAAAATGGATCTCATTCCTTTAGATATAGAATTGTGAATGACAGAATGATTTTTCTTAATATTAATGCTTTTGTAATATGTTAATTTTTCCTTTGGCTACTCCTTCATAAGATATGGTATCAACAGTCAATTAACTTTCCAACTATTTGTAATTTTGAAATTACAACTTGGAGAAAAGCTACAGCATTTAAATTTACACTCATGGTATGATAGAAATGTTACAAGTTCACATGCCTATCATATGTCACCCATAAGGTATCTAATACCAAATTCAATTTATACAAAACTAACTGCACAATATGACATTATTTAATAAGAAAACCATTGTATACTCACAACATAGCCATTGTATGTCACCACTGACACAATAACTGTGATCACTGACATAGTAGCTGAACAAAGAGTGTAGGCAAGAGTGGACAGGAATGTGGGGGTGTGATGGATAATGATGTAAAAGAGTGGTAAGATAACTGTAACCGTCACAACACTCCGCACATGCCTCACAACAAATCTGTTGAATACATGTCCTATATTAATTGCTACCCAAGTTTGATCTTTATTCAAACTTTAGGCTGGAATACATTTTGCATGTGTTGGTGTTACCAGGCATATTCTATATTTATCCAATAATAAAAAGGTAAAGATCTATAGGTTCTTTCCATGCAAAGATATAGATTTGAACATACAAACCTGCCAACAACTTCAGATGTAGTGTCAAGAAAATGTAATGGAAGCAGAGCTACTGACACTGACAGAAGACTATGTGACGCCCTCACGTCTAAAAGCCAGTTTCGAGTCCACCGTGTTAATGCATCTTTGGCAGGATGCAGTAGCGAACCAATTAAAACTGCCCATAGCAATGGCTGCACAAAAGGCTATGAAGACAGAAACAGAGAAAGTCAAAGTTATATGTTAATCAAGAACAAAAAGGATTTCTTTTCATTCACAATATGAATTTAGCTGATATGACTCACAATATGATTTTACAATTTATAATTTTTGTAATTTGTATTCTGTAAGATCTTTCCCACTCCCTCAAAATTGAGAGAAACTGGAAGGAGATATATATGTGATCCACATTGGGATGGGAGAAACCACTCCATACATCCATACATAAAATATGTACACTGGCAAAAATACATACAACTTGTACTGTCACTGATTCTATTCAATAATGTTAAATATTATTTTTCTAGATTCTTAAACTGTATATGAATTCCAATTGTTATATCTACACATTTCACTTGGTATAAATTTTGACATAAAAAACACCCATGACTGGTTTGAAGTATAGATCATTAAACTCAATAAACAAATACTAAATATGTAAATCATATATAAGCGGTTCAAGTTTTTAAAAAATAACAAAAAATAACATAAAAAATAAAGAAAATGTCAAAAGAGATCAACAATAGAAACATACCTCAAATATTTTGTATACGGACCAAGCAGCTGCAGCAGCCGCCCCGACAAAGATGACAGCTGCAACATTATAGAAGGCATTGCGTAGTGCTTGGTCATACCCTTGAGGTACAAACTGCCTCCACACTTGCTCCAAAGGAGAGCGGACATTCTCTCCGTATAGTGACATTTTCCTTCTATGCTACCATCTCACCTGCAATGACAAGGCAGATTATAATTCACAATTTCAAGTTTTCAACTGAAAAATAATATTTCAATATTCACTCTGTACTGTGTTTTTGGCAAATATACAGTTTTCACTGGAAAAAAAAATTAAAAAAATAAATCAGAAATATAAATGAATACCTATTTTCTATTTCTCTGACAAAGTTTGCATTTAAGTTATATCTACACCAATGGGTGAAAAAAAACAGAATCACAGATATGTTCTGCATGTGGAAATAACCCTATTCTATTTAGACCAGTTGGATGATCAAGCATATGAAATGCAAGCACATACTATGAAAACATATTCTACACTTCTTGAAAGTTTTTAAATAGAAACAAGTAATTCCAATATGAACAGTCCAAAACAGTTGGTCCTGAATCTTTTGTGTCTGAGTTGTTAAAATAATGAAATCTACATTTTTCAGAAGTTTTCTTCTTAAAACTGAAAGTAGGGAAGTTATTTAGAATAGAAATATATACCAGCAGCAGCTACTTTATCTTTTATCTTCAGAGATGAAGTTTCATTTTCCATGATGTGCATTTGTTTGGAAAAGAGTATCTATCGGGAGAAAACACCCTGGATTTTGAATTCCTTAACAGACAAAGAGTAAAGAAAGCTTCCTCAACACACTTATAATGGCTGACATCCTATCATGTCATGGCTAGACCATCTCTCTTGCCAGGATAACATTTCACCATATCATGTGTGGTTGACCCTGCTCTATGCAGTACACATCAAATTCTTTACTTGTTTGGTTCTGGCTCTAGACTGATGAGAAATATTCAATTAAAAGTTGGCTTCAGGCCTTTTTTATCATCTATACAAACATTTACTTAAGAGCATAGAGAATAGGTTAAATCTTTATTTCATGCACTTCTAATTCACTCCTTGAGGAGCTGACTCTGTGTGGCATCTGGCACATGGTTTGCTATGGTTCTGGGAGATCCTGTTGTAATTAGGTTAAATCATAAGGAAAGGCAGTTTTATGTTGATTGCTGTTTGAGGCTTTCTGACATTTAACTGTTGTAGCATGTTATATCATATAGATATATGTATTCACTGAATTGGTTCAGGTACAATATTTACCAAGGTTTATTATCAAGCTTTGTCCAGCTTGAGTGAATGTGGAGATTGTTTCTTGAATTTGTTGCTGTTCTGCCTTTAGGCACATTGGCAACTGCAATATCCGATGGAGTTTAATGAAACGTAAGAAATCCATATATAAAGCATTTCATTTTTACTATCAGAGAGATATAAATTGTATTTTATATGAATTGAGTCCATCCCCTCACCCCATCCAAAACCTCTAACTCTCCATGGGATTCCTAAGCCTGTTGCTTGGGGAGGGAGGTGGAATGTTTAATCAAGATTTGCAATGACAATTAACTTTGGCTTTATTATTCTAATCACACCAAACTACATGAGAAACCACAATTCTTGCATGTCAAGGTTGTGTTACCATATACCTGACATTTGTTTCCACCTGTGGCTAAATTCATAGGTAAAAGTCAAATTACCCCTAACTTATCAATTCAAACATTAGTCTTTCCATAAAAGTGCAATCCCTCTTCTGTCATTTATACGAGGTTTTATTACAATCTGACAATTAAGAGTTACATAAAACAAAATTCACAAGAATATACCCTTACCTGACCAAACCTCCCAGTCACTTAGACGTTTACAAAAGCTGATTTATTTACTCTCTGTACTTCGAATACAATACTGCCTAGAATCAATGACCTAATAACAGTGGCTTGTTATCAAAGCACATTAAACACGTGTTGCTGCAAAATCTCATTCTATTAATAAAGAAAATGTATGACGTCAGGCACTGAAAAGCTCCGGAAATATGGGCGTTTTCATCATACTTTTCCTCTAAAACAAACTTATAATAAACACCAACAGACTACCCCCATAGTCTCTAACACAACACCAACTTTACTAATACAATTGTACGTCAAGGAAGACTTAAATTACCTTTAAAAATAAATTAAACCGAGTGGTTTATTTTTTGCGTTACATCCACTAACCAA